GAAAAACATCACTTCCCAGGCATGTGATGTGATCCATGCATCATGAGATTAACAATCGATATTTATAGATGGATCCATTAATCGTTGGTTCCCTACAGGCTACTATTATAACAATAACACAGAGTAGCGACATACACCGACATTGTAAAGTGACATTTTATTGCCATTGTAGCAAAATGTACATGTTGTCAAAATGCTAAATTACCACCTAGCATTAATAATAATTTGCATCCCTTTGCAATTTCACCGCCGGATAAAAGCCTGGGATTTGTTCAACCATACTTCACCACACTTCTCAGTGTGGGTTGTTGGTGGGGGGGGGGGGTTTAAGCCTTAGTCAGATACCCATCGCAGCTGTTGTTAGCCACGGATGGGAATGAAACTTACGGCGCCGGGTTCATATAAAAAATGTTGTTTTACTAGGTGGGACCCACTGAGCTATGTCGTTAGATATTATTTTAGAAGCGACCTGGCCACAAATGATGGCTCAATGAAGTGGCTTATCACGTGGAAATGTTATAGTAGCCAAATACTCTAAACGTATGATTCTAAATGTAGGAGGAAAAATACCGGAGGACCCAGAGAAAAAGTCCACACGACCACAGAGAGAACATGCAAACTATAAATATACAGGCATCAAGGTGGGGATTGAACCCACGACCACCTGTATGCCTTGCGAGGTGATTAACATCTCGCCATCGTGGCACCCTCTGTGTCAAATGTAACTAAAATCATAACGTGAGTGTGATGCTAAAATGCATCTGATGATGATGTCACCTCGTATACACTTGTTGTGGAGGGTAAGGGGATGCCACCTGAAGCGTTCTCATTTAGCTATAGCTCATTACCTCTGGTATAGAGAGTTGTCTTTTTAGGTGAAGGATATAGGGAGGCGGGGCACCTTGAGCCATGGCCCAGCACTTGAGCAGGAAACTTGAAAGAAACTCGAATCCTAATGTATGTTGAACTTCTTTCACTCCGTACGTAGCCAACCGTGCTACTCCGAGATGCGATTAGCACGGTTGGCTACGAAGGCTTATATGGCTGTGTTTTACCAATCATCCGGCTCATACTTGCCCAACAAACTCATGAGCGACTCCAACACCACCACCACCACCACCAACGCGGCTTCCATCACGAAAACAATGGCCGGCGCTTAAACGGGTCTGGATAAACTACGGGAGATGCGGAGACGTGATAGATACCTGATGCACAAGTGTCAAGGAAAATGTTCTCTCCTGTGTGCAATGTCAGCTATGGCTACGAATGCCAAACCACGGAGCGTATAACTTCACACTGCCGCAAAATATATAAACGTGAAGGTGTTGTTTTCTTAAAATTAGCGAAATCACCGAAAAAGCACTTGAATGGCTAAATAACTTAGAACTGAATCTCCAATCGTTGCCCTTCGTTGGCCACACAAGATAACCATCATTTCTATATCAATGGGCTCATCGTACAGTCTGCTCACTGCTGTTGCCACTCCATAAGAACAAATTAGGTACAACAAGTGATTCTGAGTGCAATGCATCCACTCACACACGAATAATTATGATCGCATGGATAATTATACACCGTTTATAATGAATCTCCCAGAGATTGGGCATGCATTCTATAGATAGGGCATTTAAAATTGGCTGTATGCCAAATCTATGTATTGTGAGGTTCTAAATGAACAAATACTGCAGTACAACAACATACATTCTACACAGACAAATATAGACTTTACTGTCCACTCAGAGCATGTTAAGCGGTGCTTTGCGCGTGCCAAAAAAACTGTTATAAAAACCAAAGTGCTGTCATCACTTGACTATACCACTCACAACTGCAATTATCAACACGACTTCAATACGGCAAGGCAGACGGGCAAATGAGTAAGCGGGGTTATGTATGCGCACATCACAGCAGGCGAACAAAAAACTTATTTCCAGTCGAGTACTTTTAGTTTGATAACGACCACACGCCAAAGTTGTGTGTGTACCCGAGTGCATGTGCATGGGAGTTGTTTTAGGATACCGTTCAACATAACTGTAGCAACTAAATTTGTTCTAGATTTGAAGCTTTCGTGACTGCAAGGATTCATACTCTTTGGTTTTTTCAGTGAAGTCACGTAGGTAAAACAATAAATAAATTAAAATAAATGAAAACAACTAAATTAAATCACGACGTTTCGGAGGCAACACAAGCTTCCTTCATCAGGTTACACAAAAAAGCACAGCAAAATAACTGTAACTACAGTTATTTTGCTGTGCCTCCGAAACATCGTGATTTAATTTAGTTGTTTTCATTTATTTTATTTTATTTATTGTTTTACCTACGTAACTAAATTTGTGTTATTCAATGAGTATCTGGCTGGTTTTTTATTTTGCTTTTTGTGCTTAGTTTGTTGTCCTTCCCCCGCACCTCCAATTCACATTGTTGGATACATATGGCACGAAAGAAGTTCAATATACATTTATAAAAAATCTGCGTGCCTGTGTATGTACGCGAGTGCATTCTTACACGAGTCTAATATCTGTTTCGAATTTATTTGTGCAAGTTTTGTGATGTTTTTGTTTCATGCAGATGGGTTATTGCCGTCACACAAGAATGGTCTGTAAAATGATTTTTCGCCACCCGTAATTGCACCATAAATCATGCCTGGACAGTACAAGGACCTTAATTGCAATGCTTGCAATGGAATTCTGCATCGAACCAATTCAGAAAAATATCAGTGGCAGAGTACAGAGGCAAATTTATTTTAAATGCAATGTGTTTCACTCGAGTTTAAAAGGGCAGTTGCCTTTGTTACAAAAGTAAATTTGTCTAGCCTGCTAATATGGTGGTGGACTACATTGATTTAATATATATGCAACATTCAAATAAAGTAAGTCACAGCCTGGAAAAGGTTTTATGTTTTTCAATATCCACTTGTCTATAACACTGATGGCACCAGACTCTCAATCACGGTATGCATTTGTAAAAAGGTGAATTTTAACAAATTCTCCATTCACAGACGGTATTTAAAAACATGCATCACAGTGGCGTCATTGATATTTAATTCACCCTCTTACTTGCATAAACCTTGTGAACTTAACAATGCCCAACTTATTCATCTAAACTCCCCCCAAACGTTTATCAATAACCATGCCGTCAACATATAATAGGCTACGTTTCGGAAATGGCCCTTCTTCATAGCACGTACAATTAAGAAGGGTCTTAATTATTATGTAATGTTCTTTTTAAGGCGGTGTTATTGATGAATATGTTTGGTGTTTGTTGTTGTTGTAAATTGTGTTTATTTGCCACTGCCAACACGGCATCTCAAAATAGGTTCTTAATGTACTTTTGTTGTGCAATTTTAATCGTAGTGTTTCATAAATAGCAGTTCGAAGCCACTTGAAATGCAAATGCTAAATCTTTAAGTAGGCAAAGGAAAGGTAAACTTTTATACCCAAAACCCTTTAGAAAGTTGCTTAAATATAAAAGCCGATATGGAAATGGTTCCAAATTAATGCAGTTTGCCATGTACATATTACTCGAGCATAACACAGGCATTGCTGACCCGCCTATCCCCCAATCTAAGGAAATATTCCGATGCCGTGAATTGTTACAGGAACGTGCACCATCCAAATAAATGAAAGGGGGGGGGGTGGCGGGGGAACAAAATGCCCTAAATAAAGTACCCACGTTGTCTTGAATTTTGCAAGCGTGCGTGCCCTAACAAGATATTTTTAAGAGGCAGATGTCAAAATGGGACCTTTTTGACAGTATCAAAGTATGGCAATGAAAAGGTGTTATTTAGATGTTCAAATACCAAACAGAAACCCATGCTCTGATGATGTTTGTTTGCATATTTTGCCACAAGTACGTGTGGTTAATGCAGACATGATTCCTTGCAAAAGGTTTCTATTTGGTGTTTGAACATCTAAATACCTATTCTTGGTTCTTTCGGTAAAGTCACGTAGAAGGGAAATAATAAAATAATACAAATATAAAATAATAAAAATTCTCACGACGTTTCGACTGCAACACAAGCAATCATCAGGTGTGAAAACCACAGCAAGAAAATTTGCCACTTTTTTCTAATTTTCTTGGTGTGGTTTTCACACCTGATGATGATTGCTTGCATTGCAGTCGAAACGTCGTGATAATTTGTATTGTTTCATATTTGTATTATTTTATTATTTCCCTTCTACGTGACTTTACCGAAAGAACCAAGAATATGAATCCCTGCAGTCACGAAAGCTTTAAATCAAAATCTAAATACCTGTTTAATTGCCAGAAAGGGTAAAAAACGATTTAATTTTTTCAGATTTTGATACTAGCAAATTGTAGCTGCTATTCTTTTTTCAGACAGATGTCAGCCATTATAATTCATCCATTCGTTTATTATCTATAAGCCGAGTATTTGCTTTGTGGATGAGTAGCCCTAGGGGATACCTCTTAACGCGGTGCAAGATCTCCTTAGCTTCGCAGGCTTGAAGGAGAGATCATAACAGGAGTTTGTGTAAAATGCCCACGTGGTGTTGCCATACACTGAGGGTGCAAAGACTGAGGAAGGCAGATACATACGCCGATGCAGAGCAGACAATGTGGCTGGCCTGTTCACACGAGCAATGGGGCGATGCTTGATTCTATTGACAGCCACAAAGCTCCAGTGATGGTAATTAAACATTCCCATGACAGTGGCCTGGGGGGGAAAATGTCTCTTCACAGGATTACCACTTTTGACCTTTAAGATGAGTTCACCCCTTTTTCCGGGATTGCAACTCGGCAACCTTCCTATCGTGACCAAAGTGCTTTGACCACAGAGCCACCATTTCAGACTCTACACGGTCTACTCAAGAGTGCACTGACCTGTCGCTTGGTGAATATTGATACCTGTATTGAATCATCTGTATTAAGAGTGACATTTTTTTTAATTCAAATCAGCATTTTTGCTGAACAGGGCCTCCAACCCATACGAAAATGCAGCGGTTTAAATTCCCACCATCTAGCATGAGCATTGCCCACCATACCTGACTGTGATGGCAGACAGCTGGCCATGGTTTGCCCGCTGTGGCGAGGAGACCGTTACAATTGTGTCGAAGCGGCCACAGCCCAGCCGAGCAGTCGGCCTTCCGTCAGTCAGGAAGAGGTGGATGAAGAACGCGTGTAGGCCCTCGCTGCCACCTGCACTCACGAGCAACACAATCACTCAATTCGGCCGGGCCCCTCCTCGGCCGATGGGTGCTCCCCCTTTCACTTCTTCACACGAGCATTGCCCACGACGGCACGCGATGGGCCCGATCGTGGCTGTTAACGCGTCATCAAACATATCGGCCCACGATGGTGCGGGCTTCATTTTCTGAGGAAATATTCATTTTGTCATCACCCCTGGAGACTTTGTGTAGTTCACGAAGCTTGCAAAAAAAAAAACACTTGCCCCGAGACATGTCTATAATATTATGACACATCAATAGTTTTTGAGCCGATTGAACATGCTCGGCTCTGACAGATCGTGATGTGTTCCAGTCAAGGGGCTGGACGATAATGAGTGGCCCAAAGCAAGTTTCCCTCTTGAAGCTGAAATGAATAGGTCAACAGTCACAGACTTCCGAGGTGATCGGATGGTAGTCTAAGACGAGTCGAGTATGCTTGCCTTAAAGTCTGAACTTTTAAGAAACCAAGGAAAAAGTTCGAATGCTCGTCTTTTCCACTGCAAGTATGTGCTCGTGCAAATATTATCGGCCAAGTGTGTGTTCATTCGGAAGGAGCATCATGCTCATGAATTGTGGGCATACAACAACTTCTTGCGTTCTACATTTGGAAAACCAAACGAAAAAAAAACCCACTATCATGGCCAAATATATTAAAGGTGATGCAATTACTAAAAGTGTCCATGAAGGAATATTCGACTACAAAAGAAACTTCCATGCACGTGTAAAAAACCAAACACGTAATTTTTATTGCAACATTTCCAGTTATTTATATGAAACGTGGAGCATCACTGGCCGGCCGAACAAAAAATATGTTGTGCTTCAACTGGCCCCATAGTTCATCGCAAATTAAGAACTGTGAAATATAAGATGTAAAACAAATCAGTGTTTGTGCGATCGTGTGCTGATCACAAACCCTCTGTGTGAACCCAATGCTAAGATGACACGTACACGAGGCGTGCAATGGATTTGCACCCACTGAACCCCACGTGCTTGTTCCTTTGGTGGCCAGTTAACCCCGGGACGTGTGATAGATGATAGAATAATGACAGCACGTGACACAGCGTGGTCTCAGAACTCCAAAGCTTGTTAAGCAACTGAAGTTGTTGGTTTTGTGAAGCAACGCAGTGTCGAGCTCATATGGTGTTCATGGAAACTCATAACATCTTAAATGTGCAATGCACCACTTTTATAACAGTTTGATGTAGTCATAATAATAATCATAACGTATCACTTCTACATATATAATACATTTCCATGTGAAGCCCACATCTGGTGTTCTGAGTTAAGGCAAAATGTAATTTGACGTTTGCATCGAAGGTAGGCCTACTCACTGTAAAGCATCGTTCCATTCACAGCTGCAGTCTTGACGGTAATGACGATTTCAAAAGAGAAGTTTTTCCTCGGAGAAAAATCATTCCTTTCGTTGCTGTTTTCCAGCAGCGCGGACAGAGCAGGCAGCTTCAGGAAAGAGCTCCCACCGAAAGATGGGAAATATATGGTGTCATCTGCAACAATAATAAAAAATGACAATGAATAATTGCAAAGCAACCTACAAATAAAAATATAAATGCGTGAGGTTTCTGAAATCCTGTTTGGGAATTAACCACGGCGATTATGAAAGCAAAAACAGAAGCAATTACAGTCAAATCGGCAATGAGTGAGATGCCTCATACCTGAACTCTAACATTTAATTAGCTTACGGAATGTATTTATAATCATTTTTTTCTTACGACATCTTTACTTGCTTCGGTAGCACTGCCAGAGAGCGATACGGCAAATGTCGACTCCCATCTGTTCCATCTGCACTGGATGAAGTGTTTCGCTGATTGCGTGCACACCTTTCTCTGCGTGCTCCGGGTTCCTCCCACGTGTGTGAACGCTCGTTAATTTGCTGAAAACATCTTAACACACGGCAATACCCGCTAACAAGGGCTCAGACTCATGACATGTATTCATACTGGATGAATCTGATGAGCTGTAAAGCTCTTTTTCATAAAAAAAATTTAGCAGGGGCGGGTAAGAATGTTACAACAACAAACAGTACAAAAACATTATAGGAGTGTAAAGTACAAGAAAGGAAAACAAATCGCCTAAATTTCGATTTAAAGCTTTCGTGACTGCAGGGATTCAGACGCTGTCTCCCCGACAGACCTGGTCTTCACCTGAGGACGGATGCTTGCGTTGTGGCCGAAACGTCGTGAGAATTATTTATTATGTTTTATTTTTATTATTTTATTATTTCCCTTCTACGTGACTTTACCGAAAGAACCAAGAAGATAAATCTCCTAAACACATACAAATACAACTAAACCATCCCCATCCTACCAGGCAATGCCCACTGAGGTATTAACTTTTTTTTTAAAAGCGACCTGGCCACAAATGAAGGCTCAACGAAGTGACCCGTCATTTGGATACTTATAGCAGCTAAATTATCTAAATAGTCGAAAGACATGTTTCTAAATGTGGAAGACTCGGAGAAAAAAAATCCACTCGACCACAGGAAGAACACGCAAACACCAAATATATAAGCGCCAGGGTCGGGATCTAACCCCCGACACCTATTGCATAGCAGACGAGGAAGATAGCATCTCAACCACCGTGGCACCCTATAAATATGTTTAACTTGGGTGGGCCAAAATTACATTTGGTGGTGCAGGGCCCATGCCAGCGACCAGCTCCTCGCTGAGACCCATCGCTTACAACATTTAAGAACCTGCTTAAATCATGGGTGACTCTCATCTTTAAACTCAGGATCTCAACGATGCTGCATCGGTGCTTTCGTGTTTAGTTTTTCGTCCTTCCACGCACCTCCGATTAGCATGGCTGGCTAAGTACGGTGCGAAAGAAGTTCAAAACACCTGCATAAGTATTGAATGTGGTGTGTCAGTGGGACTCCTATTATTACCAATGTGGTATTCCATTTGTTCTTTGAACTTCCAAGTGAGCCACCTATTTGTAAACCATCAAAGTCAACGATTTTGATTCATGTAAAGCACTGGTGACAGTTTTGTGGCTTTCATAAGCAGCATTTTAAGTATAACTATTGACAACCTGAACTCAGGGCACGTATGCATGTATGTTAAACTTATTTCGCACCGTACGTAGCCAACCGTGCTAATCGGAGGTGCGGGGGAAGGACAATAAGCTAAACACAAAAAAAAATCAGTTTTAAAGAAATCAGTTTTGAATCTAGATTTAAAAGTGCATAGTTCCAATGGCTTCCTACTATCGGAAGGAAGAGCGTTCCAGACGGCCGCAGAAGCGCATCTGAAAAGTGCGCGATGCGGTGACCGCCGTCTTTGCTCGATGGCTAGCCAAAAGCCGCTGCTGCAAGGATGACCGGGAGTTCACGTGGTGATGGCTTATGCTCCTTGACGAATCAGCAAAGGCATTGGCGGTTAATTTGTGACACGAGTGTGGAGTAGCCCCGGACAGAAGATAATTCACACTTCTGCAAAGTCCACCCCCTCGTTGTCAATGCGTTCTTATACACTTATGCAGGTGTGAAATTGACGTGTGAAGTAAGATAAGCTACGGGGCTTATGTTCAGCTCAGTAATATTACCGTATCCAATAACAAGCAGTTTAATGTGCTAGATTGCAAGACAGCAGACGTGTCTGAAAGGCCCTTACACCCTGCACCCTTATTTGGCCTCTGGCTCTGAAATAATGAGCCATGGGCACGGGATTACAAAGACCATGATGCCTGCTCTTCTGCTGATGGAATAGATCGTGTGTTGCATTTGTTAAGGCACGGTTCGGTATGATTGCATTCATGCTTAACTGCACCAAATGCATTTTTAAGAAATGCATGTATTATTCAATAGCTGGAATATTAAGTGTTCTAAGAATCAGTGTTAAATAAAGCATGTGAAGCAAGATTAATAAAACATTACAATGGAAGGCCATCTTTATTAACAAGCTATTTGCCAAACAGACAAATACAAATTTGGTTTTGATATCGTTCAAACATTCATGAATTTCCTAAAGAACAATCAGCCAGCAGCATTAATCTCATACTTTTGGAGTGATAGTGTAGTGGTAATCGCATGATGAAATGAACATGGCGACCTGAATTCAATTACCCAACCAGGTCTAACATCAGTCGTGAGTTATATCTGAAACTGGTCCTGTGCCTCCCCATCACTGACATGCACTCACTTGTGCGGTTAAGTATAGTCAAGCAACTGCCATGACGCACAGCATGGAGAGCTCTTTACATTGAAATTACTGGACAGAAGTCTGCACGTTTATTTAATTTCATTGTGACAAATCATTGCGGTCCATGGCTTTTTGTTTTTTTTGTGATTATCTCTTTTCAACAGAAGTTTACTTCAAAGTGTAAATCGACACACATAAGTTTATGTACTGTATATGTAGTTGTGAACACTTGACTTGGAGGCGTTATTACACAGCCCCAACAGGGCTAACTACATAAACGTACACACTCTAGACCCTAACAGGGTAACAACACTACGTTAACAGGGTAACTACATAACCGGGTCAGTCAGTAACATTCTGACTGACCCACGATGCCGAGCGCAGACCGAAGATCGAAGAGACGTAGCCCCGAGGGTTGATTCCAGAGAACAGCCAAGAACACTCTAGGGACTGCCCCTTTATGCTCCTGAGCATGGCCTGGCTCCGCCCTCGACCTTTCCCGAAGGATCTCGACCGAGCATCACGTGTCCCTAAAGCCCCCCCCCCCCCCCCTCGGGCCCCTCTTACTACCCTGTCCCAGTCACGTGCCCTCCCGGGTTCATCCAGACTACCATGTCCTGACTTTCCCTCTCTCAGGCCGTCACCAGGACTATGTCCCCTAGGGCCCGTTCGCATGCCGTACTCACTGTGGCCCCAGAGAGAGGTTCCAGACGCACAGTAGCACTCTTGTAACAGTGCCTGGCGCTAACACTATAGTGACACTCTTTACGTGACTACATATATATAAAAAGCCATCAGTCAAAACTTAGATAGTCCAAACATAATCAAACAGAAAAGGATAATTAACTTAATTTGACATGTGACAGCCTACTCATTGTGGAATTCTTCTAGGAAATGTATTTTCCTCCTTGTTGTCAAACAATTAAAAATACATGAAGCTGCCGATAAAACCGTGTCCATAGGTGCTGGGCAGGAAGCGACGGCGCACTGCGACCTGAGTTTCAGAACTAGCCCAGAACCCCCTTTGCTTCACCAAATCTCACTATCAGGATGGTAAAGTATGATTAAGTATCCCCTATAACCAACACCGCACACGTGGGTTGGCCTTACTGTGGTGGTGCACTGACAAGAGGACTGTACATTTTCATAAGCACAGATGCACACTTGTGTTTTGCATGCGAATTTGTGGTCTTCAAAATGTATTAAACAAGTTGTATTCATAAAATGCATACTGTAGAAATGTATAATAAAGAAAGCAATAGCAAGCAAGATATGTTGGCATTAATGGCATTGGGAAATGATGGCTTTTTGCCCTTTAACTATAAAGGATGAAAATTTTACAAGGTTTTGCTTTGTTTATTTACTCAATATTTCACTGATGGTTGGATAATCATGAAGGTAAATGCTCCAGCAATTCCTTAACATCTTTAGCAGCCATTAAGAATGACTAACGTTCTTTGTTTACTAAGGAAGGCCTCGTCCACTCTCAAGACATTTATTTAAAAGAAAATCTTATTTTAAATATTCGGCAAATTTCATTGATAATTGTTGAGAGTGTGGGAGAAAACACAGAGCTCATGCACAGACAGATTTAAGAATCAATTGTTGTACTGCCATCGCCGTATCTCACAGGCCTAGCCTACAACACCTGGCATTTTCTGACACTCCCGTCCAAGAACTAGCCATGCTCAAACTTTGCTTAGCTTCCAATATCTCATTAGATCAGGCACATTTAAGGGAATTTGATCCTAAACAATGTGTTTATTTGGTTTAAAATATTAACTTTGTTCCGTTTTGTGCGTGTTTATTATGTGTACAGTGCAACATTGTGTCACTAAATATAGAAATATTCATAAAGTTCGTTTGCCATGCACACATTTTGCAGCATGTACATGTTTTCTTCTATTACATTCCTGTGCATCAACGGGCAGAGCCAGGCAAAGTGCCACTTACACCACCCTCTCAGGCGCCAGTCCTTTTTAATTAAATCCTTTATATTAAGTTCGCTTGCTTGCTTACGACCGTGCAAATCTTTCGGTCGTTTTTTAACCCACTTCCCGTGATCCAATCGAGCTGACATTTTCCACACAGACTCGTTGTGCGTGACAATAAATTTTCGTGAAATTCTTTTTTCCAAAATTTTACACTTTTAGTACAAAAATATTATATTTAATTACCAATTGCTTAATGATGCAATGCAATCATCTGACCCATAGGTGGCAGCCATCTCAAGCCAGAGGACGAGAGGACTGTAGCCGCCACGTACATAAAGGATTTATAGTGAAAAACTTTGTTTTTACGAGTTATACTTGTTTTTTATTGAACTCATTGCATTTCCGACGGTG